CCGGGCCGCCGCGCCCTCCCAGCTCCCCCACCAGTGCACGAGTTTACCTCTAGAGGTCATCAGGCAGGATTTACGACTGGACAACAAAAGCACGTGATGTGAAGCCGTACCCCATATTTGGGTGCCTACGTAGGAGGGAACCAAGTACATGTCCCAGTCATTTCCATAATTCATCATAAATTGTGCAAGGGTGCTATAGACGCACAAAACGACCAAGAGCCACAAATCAAGCACACATATCAAAAAACAAATGAGCTCTTATTTTGTAAACTCATTTTGCGGTCGCTATCCAAATGGCCCGGACTACCAGTTACATAATTATGGAGATCACAGCTCGGTGAGCGAGCAATACAGGGACTCCGCCAGCATGCACTCCGGCAGGTACGGATACGGCTACAATGGCATGGACCTCAGCGTCGGGCGCTCTGCTTCCACCCACTTTGGTGCCAATGAGAGACCCCGCAGTTACCCGGCCAACACCACCTCTGCCTCGACAGAGCCCAGGTACAACCAGCCCGCGACGTCTTCCCACTCGCCTCCCCCTGACCCTCTGCCCTGCACCGCCGTGGCCGGTTCGCCTGTCAGCGAGAGTCACCACGGGGTGAAAAACTCCCTCGCCAACTCCACCAGCACTTCGTCCAATTCCAGCAGCAACACGCACATCAGCAGAGACGGGGTTGGCACCTCGTCCGGGACTGAGGAAGACACTCCAGCAAGCAGCGAGCAGGCAAGTGCCCCGACCGACCAAAGCACAGCCCAGCCTTCACAGCCCCAGATCTACCCCTGGATGCGAAAACTGCACATAAGTCATGGTAAAGCAAATACCCTGTTCTTTCTTTATTTCTCTGGAGGAAAAGGAGGATTTAATGTAAACCGGGTGGCTGCGCCGAGCAAGGTCGGGGAGAGGGGGAGAGGAGGGCGTGAGAGCGGGCAGCCTCCGCGCACAGCACAACTCTGCTCGCAGGGCAGCACGCTCCCTTCTCTGGGCGAGTCCCCTCCATAAGAAAAAAACGCCCGGCCCCAAAAACACAGCCCGCCTGGCTCCCAGCGCCGGCCCCGGCGGGCAGCGGGGGAGCAGAAAGCGCCTTCCCGAAGGGGGATCGGGAGCAGAGGCTGCTCCCGGCTCTCCTCTGGAAGGGGGATCCTCCAGTGGGAACGGCGCGGCTGACCCCATTTATTTTGCCGAGCCTTATTAAAAAGAGAATAGGAGAGGGCGAGGAGGGCAGTTTTCACTGCTGGGAAGCCGTGGGGGAGGGGGGGCGAGTCGCCCCAAACTCCGGGCAGCGGGCTTGAGGGGCGCGGGGAAGCGGAGCAACTTTCAGCCCCGGGTACCTGCCCTGCCCTCGCTGCTGGGGGAGCAGCCGGGGGCTCGCTGCCTCCCAGAGCCTTTTCCAGCTCAGCCGTGGGAAAGAGCTGCACGCTTCAGCTTTGCTCTCCCCGCCCTGAAAGCCCAGCTAGCAGCAGAGGCGTCCTCCAAACCGGCTTATCTGGGGGAGCTGGGGGGGGGGATTAGCCTTCAGGAAAAAAAAAAAAAAAAAGCAATTTGAAAAAATCGAACCCCAAATCCAAGCGAAAACTTACCGAGACCACCAAATCCCCCTCCCCCAAGGCTTTCCTAAAAGGGACTGGAGGGGGAAACTTGTTGAGCGTTTATCCAAAGCAGAAACAAAACCAAGCAGGACTGAGGATAACGGTCCTGGTCGCTGGTAGCTGCAATAAAACACGAAAGCTCCGAGTGGCTGCTGAGAATCTAAATCATGTACTTTTCTCTTCCAGACAACATAGGGGGACCAGAAGGGAAAAGGGCTCGGACTGCTTACACCCGCTATCAGACCTTGGAGCTGGAAAAGGAATTTCACTTCAATAGATACCTGACCCGCAGAAGAAGGATTGAAATAGCACATGCTCTTTGCCTCTCAGAGAGACAAATAAAGATCTGGTTCCAAAACAGGAGAATGAAATGGAAAAAGGATAATAAGCTGAAAAGTATGAGCATGGCAGCTGCAGGAGGGGCATTCCGTCCCTAAGCGTTTGATCAATTAAAAGTACTGAGCAGTATTAGCTGACCCTGCGTCTCATGTCAGTACTAAGTTGACTTTCTAAAACTTCCTTGTGTTACTTCTGTGAAGAAACCCTGTTCTTGTCGCCCTTATTCATCTTTTAATCATGAGCCTGTTTATTACCATTCTCTCGCGTGTATAAGTAGATCTGCTTTTATCGTACATTTCTTTGTCTTGAATGGCTTTGTCTTGAAAAAAATAATAGATGTTTTAACTTATTTATATGAAGCGAGCTGTGTTACTTGAAGTAACTGTTAAAACAAAACAAAACTAAACAAAAAAGAACAAAAAAAAGAAGGTAAAAAAAAGGAGAGAGAGAAAGAAACCCTCCCCCGGTTTAGTACAAATGTTATGTGTTGCACTCAACCTGCTTAACTGTGCATGTGTGGTCAAGTGTTAATGTCTGTATAGCTCCAAGCTGTTAAAAATATTTTTATTCAAACTACCTATATAATTCCTGTGTAATTAATGCTGTTGTAGAGGTGAAATGATGAAATCAACTGAACTTGTCCTACGTGTAGTGAATAGTGAATCTGTGACGAAAACTGTGATTCCAAGCAGTATGTCCTTGCTGTGCCTTTGTATATGACTCTTTGCACGAACTCTTAGAAGTGGCTCTTATTAAGCGCAGCTTCTGTGATGTATGTTTTTTGTGAACAAAGTTACAAATATAGTCAAAGTCCGGCTGTTTGAGCAAACTGTGATCAGCTTTTTTTTTTTTTTTGTATTTGTTTTTAAAAAAACCTGACTGGAAATCAACAAAAAAAAAATAAACTTTCTATTGTAAAGTTTTCGTGGTCTGGTTTGTGCAAGGCAAGAAGTTGTGCTTCCTGATTTGCCTCTGAAAAAAATATTAACCCGTGCAGAGTTCGTAATAATATTTTACCTGGCTCCTGCTGCACGTTGGAAATGGCAGAGGCTGCGATTGTCCGCTACCAGAATTTTTAATTGAAAGTTTGACCAGAAGTTCCTCCTTACTGGTTTCTCGCTAGGTGGAAAGCTGCATCGCAGGACCACAATCAACACCCTTTGTGGGTGAATCAACTGTTAGCTGTTTGCTGATGGTTGAGAAAAACCCCCATGTGCTTTGTTAAAACACGCTGCTAACTCCAAGACGTGTTTGCATCGCTCTAGAATTTCTCCTGTGGTTTCATTAAGTATATTTGCAGGACAGCCACGTCCGAGCCCTCTGCGTCTATTACTAACCCTCGCTAGCCACATTCCCACTTTTCACCCTTTAAAGATTTTTGGTTTTCTTCGCTACAATTAGTTTGCTATAAACGTAATGTTACTTACCCCATCAGAGCTTGAATGGTTAACTCTTCCGAGCTTCTAAGAGCAACTAAAGATTTGCACATTTACTGACTGGTTACATTGATGCCTTCCCTTAAAAGTTATAAAACAGTAAACTTTATAAACCCCAGTTCCGGCTATATGACATTTGGGTGCCAAATGAATAGGGTTTTGTCTATGAATTAGATCGTAAAATCATCCATAGCACAGACAGATAGGCTCACTGGCTATAAAAAGTCACGTGGTGCCATTAAAGTAAGTTTTATGGTTTTGGGGAGTTGACATCCAACATTATATACCACATAACATATAATCTCACTGACGCTGGACTTCATTTGACTCTTTTGCAGGCTACGTGTGCCTCCTGGCCATTCAAATTGTCAGGTTTAGGGACAGAAGTATCCAAACCACAAGTTCTCAATACTGTGTGAAAAATGGCTCCTTGCAAGTCAAAGGTAAGTTTTGTGCACAAGTTCCTTAAAGTTTATTTGTACAGTGGGGAAGCCGAGGCTCCCACTCGCTCTCGCTGCCTCTCGCCTCTCTCTTTCTTTCTCTTTCTCTTTCCCTTCCTCTCCGCCTGGAGCTTTTCAGGACGGTCCCACCGAGCCCGAGAGGCAGGATCAACCACTAATGATCCAGGTTGCGCTGCAAGTCCCCCCCATCCCTTCCCTCGCAGCAGCAGCTAGCTCTCTATTTTAACGATCAAATCAAAGTAAACCACAATAAGCGACTTTGGCAGAGATGGATTTTGGGGCCTAGCTTTAATCACTTTGACTACCGCAGAACATAATTACTTCCTTTGCTCCAATAGACTCTCCAAGTTTGGAGAGGTTTTGTTTAGCAACGAGTAGTTACTGCAGGCGATTAAAAAAGGGGGAAACAAAATAGAGAGGGCTTGATATTATCTGGGCAGTGTCTTATGTAGGCATGATAGAGTTGGAGGCGTGCTGATATGGTAATAATCTTCGGATTGGTGAAATATGTTGCACATCAGATCTGGTATTAAAATGGCACAGACTGTATTGGAGCACTTAAGATTCCTATTTTCTGCATGGGGTTGTGCAGAAAGCTTTAGCTATGTATATATGTCCATCTGCGAGCGCGTAGTGTGTTTCGGGGATGCGCATTTATAACGTTGCTTTAACTTTTTCCAGATATATTTATATTGCATAAATATAAATATATTTAAATTATGTGCCTGTGTGCATGCATGTACAAATCGATGTATACGCCTGTATAAAGCCGTGCACATGCATATGTGTGCCTAATATCGATGTATTTATGTATACAAAGGGTGTGTACGCGTGTATACATATATACGTTCCTGTGACTTTTTTTTTTTTTAAGCGAACCAATTGACTGTAACTTGTAGCATTAATACAAGAGACTACAGGTCATTAGAGTGCTGCAAATTATGAAATACGGGCTTGGTTTATTGAAGATTGTAAATATCCCCCTAGCTCTGCTCTCTCCCTCTCTGCCTTATATTGCTGGCTGCCATTGTGGGGTAGGCCCCAGCTGCGTGTTTACTTCAACATTCTTTTTATTTAAGTGGACTGTTCTCACTAGAGTGTGATTACTCAGCAATAAACTTTATGGCCGGATTTAACTTTAGTCTTTGAATTTCCAGGACTTGAATGAAAGGGTGAAAGGAACTGTCTTTCTCTGGGTAGCATTAAGGCCTGATCCTTACCCTCAGAGCTGTTACTTAGTCGAGTGATCTCGGGGGGTGCAGACCGACTAGTCAGGGGCTAGGGAAGAGATTTGAGAATTGCCTCCAAAATCTATCTATCTATCTATCTATCTATCTATCTATCTATCTATCTCTCCAAACCAACCTCTATCTATCTATCTATCTATCTCTATCTCTCAAACCAGCTGTGAGTATCTCTTTCTCTGCTCAGGTTTAGAGTAGCAGGGATTCAGCAGATCGCATTGTTTTCCTTCACGTGTCATAAAGTCGGGTTTGCAAAAAACCGGAGTGGTTTGACGCGAGCTGGGAGATGGGCTTTGTTTTATTTCGCTAGTGCTATCCCGTTTGAATATTGCGGTTTAGACTGTATCTGCTATTGCGAGCAAAAATGAGAGAAAGGCACAGTGGTACAGGAAGGTAAGGTTGTTGTGTACCTCTGCAAGGTCTGCACATTGCTGACTGATTCCTATTTTTAATTTATTTGCCTTCAACGTTAGAGAAACGGTAGTATATAAGGCTGGTTCAGCTCAAAGATCTCACAGTTTTGCAAGTATTTAATAATTAGAGTCAACCCCCTGTGTAAGATAAATGGAGTCCGAAGCCTTTGTGTCTGTGTATCTTCCTATGAACACTAAACAAACACATATTCATGTACTTCATATTAAAAAAATGGGAAAGGCTTTAAAAGTGCACATCCAAATGCACATTTGAAAATCATTTCCGTAATAAACAGCTGGCGATTTTATAGTACACTAGCTGTCACATTTTCGTCAATAGGAATACCAGAAAGTTATATATGATAGGCGTGTATTGTATTGTATTATATGCCATAAAATTTTATAGTTTGAGGCAAAGGCATGAAAACCTTTTAAAAGTTTGGGCTTCATTTATATACGGGTCCTTTTCCAAGAAAAATCCTTCCTTGTAAACGGGAATGATACTAGACACAAACCATTCGCGATTACTCAATATTCAACAACACCGCGTTATTTGAATTATCTGGTGAACATAGAAACACACACGCGCACCCGTTCGACTAATATTTTAGGAACCTGGCTATCATCGCAGACTGTAATTTTTCATTGTCTAGAGCGAAAAGATTTGCTACTACATATTTTCACGTTTTTGAATGTGGCTTCTAGAGCATATTCCACGCAAAGCAGTGTAGAGAGATTCAAGAACTACGGGAAAGAAAAATATCCCCAAACCCGCAAGCATATAAACCCGCCCGTACTGCAAGGAACTCTCTAACAACAAAAGAAAGTTAGCTAGAAATGACAACTTCTCCATATTTCTGGCCCTGCCCTGTCCTAAGCAGCACAGTTGAAGCCATTCAAATCCAGAAACACATTAAGATTTTCTAATCCGCTTTGAAATTTGAAATTCAAACAACCCCAGACTGCCGAACTCTACCAAAATTTTCCCAGGTCCTAATTGTTTTCCGAGGGAAAATGTCATGGAGAATAATCGCTGGGAATCGAGAGAGAGGTCTTATCTGCGCACATTATTTTTCTGCTGTGTTTGGGGGATTAATGCGTGCGAGTTTGTTTTACTTTAGGCATGGCAAGTGGCGTTCTGCGCATTGAAATGTAGTTTACCTAATCCTTTGAAAGAAATACTTGAGTGTAGTGTGTCATGTCTAAGCGTAAGGCCAATTAAAGATTAGGCAACTCTCTTAATGTGTGTAACTAGTGACTTTGCAAGGCATAACTTTCTCTAAACCAGAAGTATAACAATCCGATGGAAAGTCATCCGTAAATTACAGCTCTGCAGCCTTGCCTAAGCCCTGCAAACGCCCTAATTGCAGAACATTACGGGGAAATTATTATTCTGCCATTTCCTTACATTTAATAAGTGTGTATCTGTGGAAGGGTGACAATAGAGGGGTTTGCAATCTGCTCCATGGGAAATTGAATGGAACAGATCATGAGGGGCGGATCAGGAGGTTTCGATTTCAAACCCTGGATACTGGAGCAATGCCTTTTCCCTCCCCGCAAATACAGATTTAACGCATTAAATGCAGACATAAGTAAATCTCCTGACCAAGTTAAGACATCGCTCTGCTTTCTTAGCTCTTTCTCTTTCCTGCCCTTAAAACCTCCCCGATTTGTTGCCAGAGTTGCTAGCCAGAGCGCAGAAACACAGCTCCCACGGCTGCCTGGTCATCTTTGAAAATATTATCCCTTTCAAATTAAAGCATCCTCACTAATGTCTCTCTGGAAGGCAAATACTCATGGACCATCACAGTCACATGTTCCTGCAGCTACACGCACA